CAATGGGAGCGTTGGAAAATGTTCCGTTCGAGCTGCAACGCTGATCTGTGTATTCTGACTGTGGAGGAGTGTGTGGACGGGGGAATACGTTCTTTTTTTTTCTTTTTTTTTGATCATCCGACTGGTGGACCAATAAAATGGATCCATCCACAGAATTATAGAATAAAAGATTTATGTGTGTGTGGATATTCCATATCTATGTACACAGCGATCGATCTAGATATCGATCGTGACCATTTTTTTTTTTATTAAATTGCACCCTGTATAGATCATGATAGTTCCCCACATGGAAGGAAAATATATTTGAAATACTAACATTTTGGCCATATTCAATATATTTCAATAATTTTTTTCATATTTTTTTTCATATATTTTGTAAAATCGCATTTCAACATGCAGTGTGTATGTGTGTGTGTATGTGTGTGTGTGTGTGTGTGTGTGTGTGTGTGTGTGTGTGTGTGTGTGTGTGTGTGTGTGTGTGTGTGTGTGTGTGTGTGTGTATGTATATGTATATGTATATATATATATATATATATATATATATATATATATATATATATATATATAATATGGACAAAATTGTAGTAATCTATATATACTGCATGTTGAAATGATTTTTAATTGCAAAATATATGGAAAATATGTTTAAAAATACATTTCAAACATTGTTTGTCTTTAAAAATACAAATCTACATTTACGGAATGCATTTACAAATATATGTAAAAAATATATGTTCAAATGACTTCTTTTTTTGTATGTTAAAAAAATTCTGAAGAATATATTTAAAACATATATATTTTTAAAAATTATATTTTTTAAAATATATTCTTCAGAATTTTTTCTGCCCCAAAGAAGGTGCCGTGGTGCTTTTGGCGCCATTTTCTTGCTCAGTGGGGACCTATGACAGGTCCACGTCCCCTCGGAGAGGCTGGTGTCTAGCCTCTCTGGCAAAAAAAGCCCAGATCGGTGGAGGGCTCCAGTGGTGGTTGTCCTTCTGGACCTTCGTCCCTTCTTCACACAGGATCTCTGGAGCTCATTTAGAGTGGCTATCAGATTCTTGGTCAGCTCTCTCACTAAGGTTCTTCTCCCCCGATGGTTCAGTTTGGCTGGGCGACCAGCTCTTGGAAGAGTCCTGGTTGTCCCAAACTTCTTCCATCTATGGAGGCCACTGTGCTGAGGGGAACCTTCAGTGCAACAGAACATTTTTTTTTTTTTTTTTTTTTGTAGCCTTCCCCAGATCTGTGCCTTGCAATAATCCTGTCTCCGAGCTCTGCAGGTAGTTCCAGTTATGGCTTTTGCTCTGATACAGTATGCATCGTCCGCTGTGAGGCTTTATATAGAGAGGCGTGTGCCTTTCCAAATGGTGCCCAATCAATTGAGTTTACCACAGGTGGACTCCACCTACGACGTAGGAACATCTCAGCAATGATCTCGGGAAACAGGAGGCACAGGAGCTAAATTTCAAGTGTTGTTGCGAAGGGTCTGAATACTTCTGCCAATGTATTATTTTGGGGGTTTTGTACCTTTTTCATACATTCGTGAACATTTCTAAAATTCTGTTTTTGCTTTGTCATCATGGGGTCACCATGGGGTACGGAGTGTCGATTAATGGGAAGCAGTATCAGGCTGCAACATAACAGTGCCCTTTATAAATGGGTGAGAAGCCAGGTGACCCTTGTCCTCATGGTACGGATTTCTCACCAGTCAGCAGAGGGACCATAAAGGCTAAATCTCAGAGGTTTTGTGAAGACAGGAAGCTGATGGTGATGTCCTTTTTGAGGGTGTGCTTAACGATCTGGATGGCAACAGTGGTTTGAGGAAGGGAGATCCCGAAAAAAGAAAGCCACATGAAGAAGTGGTGAGACCGTACTGGAGAAGGGAACAAGCCAATGGGAGCAGATGAATGGTTCCAGTTGGGGGCATGCCCAGAGGGGTTTAGCCAGTGGAGGACCTAAGAAAGAGGTAGGCAATCTCAGCAGGCTAGCCTCCTCGTGTCTCTGCCTCCAGAAGACATGCCTGTGGCTGACAGTCTTGCAGTACCTCATGGGACTTAAGAAATCCAGAACATTTCGATGCCAAGGTTGCCTACCCTTGACCTAGGGCATAGTCCAGATGCCAACCCTTGACCTAGGGCATAGTCCAGATGCCAACCCTTGACCTAGGGCATAGTCCAGATGCCAACCCTTGACCTAGGGCATAGTCCAGATGCCAACCCTTGACCTAGGGCATAGTCCAGATGCCAACCCTTGACCTAGGGCATACTCCATATGTCTACCTACTCTTGACCTAGGGCATACTCCAGATGCCTATCCTTGACCTAGGGCATACTCCAGATGCCTACCTACACTTTACCTAGGGCATAGTCCAGATGCCTACCCTTGACCTAGGGCATAGTCCAGATGCCTACCCTTGACCTAGGGCATAGTCCAGATGCCTACCCTTGACCTAGGGCATAGTCCAGATGCCTACCCTTGACCTAGGGCATAGTCCAGATGCCTGCCTACCCTTGACCTAGGGCATAGTCCAGATGCCTGCCTACCCTTGACCTAGGGCATAGTCCAGATGCCTGCCTACCCTTGACCTAGGGCATAGTCCAGATGCCTGCCTACCCTTGACCTAGGGCATAGTCCAGATGCCTGCCTACCCTTGACCTAGGGCATAGTCCAGATGCCTGCCTACCCTTGACCTAGGGCATAGTCCAGATGCCTGCCTACCCTTGACCTAGGGCATAGTCCAGATGCCTGCCTACCCTTGACCTAGGGCATAGTCCAGATGCCTGCCTACCCTTGACCTAGGGCATAGTCCAGATGCCTGCCTATCCTTGACCTAGGGCATACTCCAGATGCCTGCCGTTGAACAAGGGCATACTCCACATGCCTTCCCTTGACCTAGGGCATACTCTAGATGCCTACCCTTGACCTAGGACATACTCCAGATGCCTACCTACCCTTGACCTAGGGCATACTCTAGATGCCTACCCTTGACCTAGGACATACTCCAGATGCCTACCTACCCTCAACTTAAGGCGTTTTCCAGATGCCCCAATTATCTTACACCTATTCCTCACCCCACACACTATTGATGGCAAATCCCACCTTACTTGGGACTTGCTCCATATCACAATCATGCTTTAAAACAGTTTTTGGGAGACATCCCTTAGAAATACAATGTAACAATATTACTGTTACATTGTCTTAAAGTCATTCATGTGCAGAACAATGAGGTGACCTTCGATCTGCAGGTTGCATCGTTGAACACGTTTGATTGCTCAGAACACCACCAAGATTATTAAACTGGGGAGGTGAGCGGTGCTGTGAATTCTGGGACACAAGGGATGTGTCTGGATGGTGACTGTATCATTGTGTGTGTCAGGTTCCTATAAGGTGTCAGGATGTCACGGTCTATTTCTCCATGGTGGAGTGGGAGTATTTAGAAGGACACAAGGACCTCTACAAGGACGTCATGATGGACAATCAGCCGCCCCTCACATCACCGGGTAAGAGGAGACTTTATTGTAAAGGAGAGAGCAGTACGGAGGCTCCACCTAGATCCCCCATCATCTGATAAACACATAGAAACAATGGATTCAGTCAGTGTATGTGTTTCCTACAGATGGATCCAGTCATGGGAACCCACCAGAGAGATGTCCCCGTCCTCTGTATTCCCGGGATTCCACACAGGAAGACCACACCATCCCTCACCATGATCAGGTAGGTGAGGAACAATCACTGGTAATTATGATTTACACACAAGTATAATTGTTACAATGAATGTTTATTATGTATTCAGAGTGGAGACCTCGGGTTTAGTAATATTGTCGTTAAAGAAGAGTTTAAAAATGAGGATGATGAGTATGGTGTGATGAAAGAGCATCCTGAAGGACACCAGGATCCCTACAAAGACGTGATGATGAACCCACCAGAAAGAAGTCCCAAAGCTCTGTATCCCCAGGATTCCCCACAGGAAGATCACACCATTCTGGAGTATGATCTGGTAGGAGGCATTGAGCATCTGGAACTCTTCATTTATTGTAAGATGTGAGACATTCTTCCATCCCGTGCTCTTTTATTGTAAATGTGTTCTATCCTCTTTGGGGTTTAGGATGAAGAACTCCAACACATCAAAGTTGAGATTAAAGAGGAAGTGGAGGAGGTATTGGTGGGTGAAGACCAGCCTGAGGAGGAGCCTGAGATGAGTAAACAAGATGAATCTTCAATATATATTGACACAAGTGAGTAATAAACACTAAATGCAGAAGAAGTTCATTTTTTTTAATTTACCTTCTCTGAGTATATTGTATGTATACACCTTGTTCTATGGGTTGACAAAAAATGCGAAACCCTCAGTTGATCCAGGTAAGTTCACAAAACCCACATAAGGCTCAGCCCAATTTTATCCTAAGTAGATAAAAAAAAAAAATCCTTTCCAGTTTTTGAATTTCATTCAGTTGACTTTTTTTCTTACAAATATTGGCAGCCTAGCCTTTTATATACGGTACGTTGTATTTAGAAACACAACTGTACACCATATGAAATGTCCATCTCCATTCCTCAATATAACGTCATGTTCCCAAACAAATGAGGAGGAGATACTGGACACCATATGAAAGGTCCATCTCCATTCCTCAATATAACGTCATGTTCCCAACAAATGAGGAGGAGATGCTGGACACCATATGAAAGGTCCATCTCCATTCCTCAATATAACGTCATGTTCCCAACAAATGAGGAGATACTGGACACCATATGAAAGGTCCATCTCCATTCCTCAATATAACGTCATGTTCCCAACAAATGAGGAGATACTGCACACCATATGGAAGGTGCCAGAAGAATACTGATAACATTTTATGTTTTCCACCCAGGCGGACGCTATTCCTGGAATACCTCTGAGGGACATCTTTCATTGTCTACAGCAGTAAATCGCACGACTCCAGCTACGCATCCAGGATCTCGCAGTGCTGGTAGATCTTCAAACCACAAAGGAGTTCACATAGGAGAGAGTTCCTTCTCATGTTCGGTGTGTGGGAAATCTTTCGCTGACAAAAAAGCACTTCTTAGACATGAGAAAAATCACACAGACGAGCGTCCTTTCCCATGTTCAGAGTGTGGGAAATGTTTCAGTAAAAAAAAAGTGCTACTTATACACCAGAGAATTCACACAGGTGAACGACCTTTCTCATGTTCAGAGTGTGGGAAATGTTTTATTGAGAAAGGGAAACTACTTATACACCAGAGAACTCACACGGGCGAGCGTCCCTACTCGTGTTCAGAGTGCGGGAAATCTTTCGGTGAGAAAAGAACACTTCTTACACACCAGAGAAGTCACACGGGTGAGCGTCCTTATTCATGTCTAGAGTGCGGAAAAAGTTTTATTCAGACAGCAGATCTTCGTAAACACGAGAGAATACACACGGGTGAGCGTCCCTATTCGTGTTCAGAGTGCGGGAAAACGTTCATGCATAAAGGAGACCTTGTTAAACACCAGAGAATTCACACCGGTGAGCGTCCCTTTGCATGTACGGTGTGCGGAAAATGTTTCAATCTAAAAAATTCACTTCTTAAACACCAGAGAACTCACACGGGTGAGCGTCCTTATTCTTGTACAGAGTGCGGAAAATGTTTCACTGAGATAAGCGTACTTCGTACACACCAAAGGATTCACACAGGTGAGCGTTCCTATGCATGCCCAGATTGCGGGAAATGTTTCATTCACAAAAGATACCTTCTCACACATCAGAGAATGCACACAGGCGAGCGCCCTTTTTCGTGCACAGAGTGCGGGAAAAGTTTCTTTCAGAAAGGTGACCTTCTTAAACACCAGAGAACTCACACAGGTGAGCGGCCTTATTCGTGCGCAGAGTGCGGGAAATCTTATACAGAAAAGGCAAAACTTAACTTACACCAGAGAACTCACACAGGCGAGCGCCCTTTTTCGTGTTCAGAGTGCGGGAAAAGTTTTACTGAGAAAAGCGTACTCCTGTCGCATATGAGAACTCACACGGGTGAGCGTCCTTTCTCATGTGCAGAGTGCGGGAAATGTTTTACCTACAGGAAAGCACTTGTTCAGCACGAGAAAGTTCACTCAAAATAGAGTCTTTTGTAAACTTCAGACATTTCCCCGATTTTAAAAGGAAACCTTCTAAAATGCCAGAGAACTCGCACTTGTGAGAACTCCTTTTTCATGTTAGGGAGCGGGAAATGTTTTATGCCTAAAGGATAGCTGATTGGACATCCGCTTATATGTTGACAAGTATACAAAGTCATTAGACAGGTGGCACCGCCTACATGAGGGTGGCCCATTATGCTGTTGGTGTTCTTCATGATATCAATACAAATCTAGCAAAGCCATGGTGGGGGATCCCCCATCTTGGCGTTTGGTGTACATATCCAAATTGGTAGCTCCCGGAGCCACAGATTCCCTGGGGGAAGGGTAGAGCCAGAGGGAACTTTTCTGGGCGTGGGTTGACAGGTGGCACCGTCTACATGTGGGTGGACCATTATGCTATTGGCAGTCTTCATGATATCAATACAAATCTGCCAAAGCCATGGTGGAGGATCCCCCATCATGGCGCGGCTCTCATCATGGAGGTTGGTGTACATATCCAAATTGGTAGCTCCAGGATCCACAGATTCCCTGGGGGAAGGGTAGGGCCAGAGGGAACTTTTCTGGGGCGTGGGTTGATAGTTATAGGCCTCCATGGAATCTCTAGGAATATGGTCCTTCAAACCAACAGTTCTGACCCGGTCCCAAGATCTACAAGGCCATTTTCGGCAATATACGGACAATACCCTTGTTGGTCGCTGCACGCTCCCTTGTTGCTTTTACCCAAGAAGTTGGCTTTTCATTGGCTGATTGTATAATCCTCGATAAACGTGATGATTTTTTTTTTTTTTTTTTCATTTCAAATATAGAAGGCTTCGTTTAGATTTAGGCTCGGCTGTGTTGCATGTTCTTTAATAATTCTGTTTATTCAATAAATAAACTGTACACTTTACGATCTTCTGTTCTGCGGCCTCTTTTCTTACAAACGACTGTATTTCTTAGACGTTTCGTACCTTGGTGGTCATTGCAAATGTAAGGAGAACCTTTTTCTATGACCACCAAGGTAAGGGTGACTCAGCACTGGCTGTAAGGGAGCTCTTCTCTGATGATCACCAATGTAAGGGCAGCCTTGTCCAATGATCACCAGTGTAAAGGGCTCTTCCCCAACTCACCATCAATGCAGAGTCCTTCACCTCCATCTACCAATGTAATGGGCTTTTTCCACTGGCCACCAATGTGAGGAAGCCCTCCTCCTTGAATTGCAAATGTAAGGAGGACCTTTTTCTATCAGAGAAGGATGGCTCCCTCACATTGGTAACCAGTGGAAAAGGCCCATTACATTGGTAGAAGGGGGTAAAGGACTCCTTGCATTGATGGTGAGCTGGGGATGGTGGTCATCGGACAAGGCTTCCCTTACATTAGCAGTGGAGAAGGTTCCCCTTACATTGATAATCATTAGAGAAGAGCTCCCTTACCGCCAGTGCTGAAAGTCTCCCTTATCTTGGTGATCATAGGAGAAGGTCCACCTTTACATTTGCAATTCGAGGAGGAGGGCTCCCTCAAATTGGTGACCAGTGGAAAAAGCCCATTACATTGGTAGATGCGGCTGAAGGACTCTGCATTGATGGTGAGTCGGGGAAGAGCCCTTTACACTGGTGGTCATTGGACAAGGTTGCCCTTACATTGGTGACGATTAGAGAAGAGCTCCCTTACTGCCAGTGCTGAAAGTTCCACTTACCTTGGTGGCCATAGAAAAAGGTCCTCCTTACATTTGCAATCAGAGAAGGATGGCTCCCTCACATTGGTGACCAGTGGAAAAGGGCCCATTACATTGGTAGATGGGGGTGAAGGACCCTTTACATTGATGGTGAGTTGGAGAATAGCCCTTTACATTTTGGTCATTGATCAAGGCTGCCCTTACATTGCCAGTGGAGAAGGTTCCCCTTACGCTGATGATCATTAGAGACAAACTCCATTACAGTCAGTGCCGCAGGTTCCCTTTAAATTGATGGTCATTGAGAATGGTGCCCCCTTACATTGGTGATCATCAGAGAAGAGCTCCCTTACAGCCAGTGCTGAAAGTCTCCCTTACCTTGGTGGTCATAGAAGAAGGTCCTCCTTACATTTGCAATCAGAAAAGGAGGGCTCCCTCACATTGGTAACCAGTGGAAAAGGCCCATTACATTGGTAGATGGGGGTGAAGGACTCTCTGTATTGATGGTGTGCTGGGGATGGTGGTCATCGGACAAGGCTTCCCTTACATTAGCAGTGGAGAAGGTTCCCCTTACATTGATGATCATTAGAGAAAAGCTCCCTTACTGCCAGTGCTAAAATTCTCCCTTACCTTGGTGGTCTTAGAAGGTCCTCCTCACATTTGCAATCAGAGAAGGATGGCTCCCTCACATTGGTGACCAGTGGAAAAGGTCCATTACATTGGTAGATGGGGGTGAAGGACCCTTTACATTGATGGTGAGATGGAGAATAGCCCTTTACACTGGTGGTCATTGGACAATGCTGCCCTTACATTGGCAGTGGAGAAGTGTTGTGGACCTTTTGAATTATGTCTCAAAAATATGACTTTATCAAGACATAATATTATATGACAAGCAGCTCAATATAGCCGGATGTTAAGGGGTTAATTTGTCTTGGTTGGAAAGTCGAATGACCATCTGGCTGGAGAGGTGTAGACGGTGGGTGAAGGGATTTTTTTTTCCTCCCAGAGACAATATACTATTTTGAAGTTCTACAGGTGGTCAAACACCATTATTCAGACTTCAATAGCAGGTAAACATATACAAGGTCTGGACAGGACAATAGAGGAACCAAACTGATTGTCTGAGAGCTTACTCAAACCTTGCAGAGTGTGATAAACCAACAGAACTCTCAAACTATCACAATATGCTATTGTCCACCAAGGGTGAAAGCATTAACAGTTGTTTACTGTGACTCCAATACAAGAGCCAGGCAAACAGAGTTTTTCCCTACACATAGAAAATGTGATTCTAAAACAAAATTCAGGACATTTAAGTCTAAAAATTGACTGTATATAACTACAAAGATATACTACAAAAACATATTATAAATGAGATGTTATAAAGAATAGGTTTCACACACCACCAAATATTCAGCAATGGGAACTATATATCACTAACTTGAGTATTGAGATGATGGAAAGTAAGATGTATTATAAACTAGCATTAGTTACATGTCTTATCAGGAAGCAGACAGGATGGTATTTCAAGAAGGAATAACTGAATATACCCCTATATTCCATGGTCCCTATTTAGAATATTATAGGTATGATCACTTATATCTGGAAAAAGATGTATATTTGATCCCTGAAATTACCTTAAGATTCCACCCGAGGTATGAGTCATCTCAAATACTCAAATTGTTCTATGATACATGACCGCGACCTGGCGGGCAGGTGAGAAATAGCTTATGTACACACATTTCTCAACTAGCCAATCAAGAAGCCTGGTGGGAAGGTATCTTAGAACAATGGATTAGTTGGTATAAAAGCCCTTGTACCTTTAAAAAAAAAAACTCATCAAAAGAAAAACTCATCAAAAGAAAAGACCTCATCAAAAGAAGACCCTGACATCTGAAGAAGATCTCTGCTGAATAACTACTCTTCCATACTTTCAAACTTCCTAAAACTTTACTAAATTTCTAAACCTCTATCCTTATAACTTCCTACATTCTCCCACACTATTGAACTCTATCTCAATTTCCCCTGTGGTCATCATTCTAAAGGCGTTCCACTGCCAGCTAAATCCACGGGAGAGTTGCCTAGTCTGAATGCCGGGTGCGGTGAGATTGTTTATTTGATTTTGTATTACCTATTTTCTCCGTTGTGTGGACTCATAGAATTACCTTAGTGTATCACAACAATATTGGGTAGTTCGAGATATATGTAGAGAGATCCTGTTTTTACTGTTAAAAATTGTTTGGTGCCATATTATACATTTTTTTTTATATTTCATAATTTATTGAATATTAATAATCAGAGTATAATATATCAAGGGCTAGCTTCTTGCAATCCTATGGCCACGGCTTGTGAGAATATCACCTTTGAGATACTCGAAATTATTAATTATTAATAAATTTAATTAATAATCAGATCATTTAAAAATTGTGATATCGATGTAATTAGTTAGAAACCCTATTATTGTGTCTTACATTGGTAGGATATATCTTTGATTGTTTGTATCAATATTCATTTATCACCAGTCTTTTGCGTTTTGTGTTAATATATATATAATTTTTGTACATAAATAAATTTTTATATTTATCTATTATAAGGCAAATTTTGTGTGTATGGTACGAAATCATATTGGCTAAAAGAATTCAAGGTATAATAATAAGTGGTGATCAAATTATCAAGGTGTCCAAATTATTGGTTCACTAAATATTTGCCGTATTTTAACGGCTGGAGGCACTGTAATATTTCATCTAAGGGAAAGGGACACGCCCTTTATAAGTAAAATATATCCTTACATAAACCACCACAGAAGGTTCCCCTTACATTGGTGATCATTAGAGAAGAGCTCCCTTATAGCCAGTGCTGAAAGTCTCCCTTACCTTGGTGGTCATAGAAGAAGGTCCTCCTTACATTTGCAATCAGAGAAGGATGGCTCCCTCACATTGGTGACCAGTGGAAAAGGCCCATTACATTGGTAGATGGGGGTGAGGGACTATTTGCATTGATGGTGAGCTGGGGAAGAGCCCTTTACACTGGTGGTTATTGGACAAGGATTTCCTTACATTGACAGGGGAGAAGGTTCACCTTACATTGGTAGATGGGGGTGAGGGACTATTTGCATTGATGGTAAGCTGGGGAAGAGCCCTTTACACTGGTGGTCATTGGACAAGAATTCCCTTACATTGGCAGTGGAGAAGGTTCCCTTTACATTGGTGATCATTACAGAAGAGCTCCTCCACAGCCAGTGCTGAAGGTCCCCCTTACATTGGCAGTAGAGAAGGTTCCCCTCACATTGGTGATCATTACAGAAGAGCTCCCTTACAGCCAGTGCTGAAGGTCCCCC